GAAAAGTTTACTTCAAAGGAAATATTCTATGGCCTGACAGAAGTTTCTTGAACATCCCCTCTCAAACCTGTGTTGTATTTGTTTAATTATGTAAAGATTTCTGCTATTTTACTTTGCCTGTGTAAGGCAACTTATTGTTCTAATAAAAAGCTGAATGGTATATTGTGAAGGAGGAGTTATAGGCAGGACTTTCAGGAAGGAAGAGTAAGGAAGAGGAGGAATTGAGGCTCAGGAAGTAAATAAAAGAGACACCAGGGATCAGACAGCCAGAGAAGGAGGAAGCAGAAAAGTTGGACATATAGAATGAAAGAAAGGTGAATGGCCCAAAGGCAAAATGTAGATGAATAGAAACAGGTCAAATTAAGTTAAAAGAACTAGTGGGACAAACCTAAGCTAATAATTAATAATAAGTCTCCATGTCTTTATTTAGGAGCTTGTTGACAGCCCAAAGAAGGTGCCAGCTTTGAAAGTCATCCCTTAGTGATCCTCTGAGGGATGGCAAAATTATTCTATAGGTAATTGGTAATTGTGTGTCAGTAGTGTGCTCAGATAGTGTCTGTAGCACTATCTGATCTAAACCTACATCCTTCCCTACCTCCTTGTTCAGTTTGTACAACAATGTTGCCTTTATATTCATCTGTATATTGAAAACATACTGAGCTTCTGGCTTGCTGTGGCTTCTCCATCTGAGAGCCCCACCCAGCCTATCTCAGGTTTGCTGTTTCTTTGTGTCTGTGTTTCTATCATGTCTTCATTCCCATGTCACCTCTAGTCAAGAGCCTAAAACACAAGTTATGCAAACAGTGGCATCCCATGTACCTCTGCAGCACTGTCTGTTGATTGATCTATACACACAGAGAAAAGATCCTTGGTGTTTCTAAACACAGAGAGTTCCAGGGAATTTGTGATAGAGTTTCCCTATATAATTAGGATAAAAATATATATAATTATAACAACAGTTAATATTGAAAAAGGCCATGAATTTTAAAGAGGTAAAGGAGAGGCATACGGAGGGAGAAGAGGGATGGGAGAGTAATATAATTATATTATAATCTCAAAAATAAACGAAATGATTTTGTGAAAAGACACTGCAACAAGGTTTTAACTGTTGTTTGCAGCATCAGACTTCCAATCAGTACATTTATTTTTTAAAACCTCTTGACTTTAATGAAAGATTAAAATCTTAATAAACTTTTCTCTTTATACCTGGGATTTCCACACAGGTTTTAAATGTCTATACTTCCTGATACAAAATATTTTTCTTTTTATTTTAAATTTGCGTTATGTAAACCTTTCCAAAACTCAAAACTCCATTTGAGTGTTCCTTATTTACAAAAAAAAAAAAAAAAGGATGAAAGCATCTACTTAGCTATTTGTTTTCTGAATCCTATTGTTTATAGAGCTTCAGGAAAGTGAAGTAATAGTAACTCATTTTTTTGTCTCATCTAATATAGTTGATAGGTTTTTAATATTAAGGAAAACTTTACATATTTAAAACTTATTGATGATTAAGACTTCACACCATAATCATTTCAGGCATGAAAATGAATTTTACTATCTATGCAAAATATCAATATTTTCTTAAGAATTATTGCCTTTTGAATGATTTAGTTGTTAGGAAGCTAATCACACATAAAAAATTGAAGCCAAAATTGACATGAATATATAATTAATTTTCCCACATATTTCTTTAAATAAAGTTACTTCTTCAGTACAGATATGAGAAGTAAGGAAGTTTCACAGGGCTATTGTGAGGGACATGATAAATGGAGTCATGAAATAAACAATTTTTAATTTAGGGGACTCTATCTGTCTAGAGAGCCCATGATTATTTCCTATTAATTCAGTATGCTAGAAGTAGATGGAAGAGATAAAGGGTTCTTCCAAGAGAAAGAGCAACATAAAACAAGGCACTGTAATTATATCAACATCTATTAAAATTTTCATATTTGAAATCAATGGTAGTTTCATATTGCAGTCAGAATGGTAAACATCTAATTTTGTGTATGAAATGTTGTGATACACTTGAAATTTAGTTAGGGTCTTTCTTCTGAGGGAGAAACATTTTAGAAACTCCAACTTACTCCTGACTTTCACCTTACTATTAATTTGAAAGAATGTAATCATCCCCTTTGGTTTCACTTTTTCTATTTCTTAGTATTTTCTGATAATTCAATCTCAATTAGTAAAAGTGCTTAGACAATGTAGTTTATTTATAATCAATGTAAATGTATAGGTGACTCAGAGTTTATACACTAAAAGAGAAAGTATTCGTGTATAAAGAATTTCCACAGGAAAAGGCAAACACAGTAAATTTGTGGAGTCAGGGATGTACAAGAAAAGTAGGAGACCACATTCTCAATACATACTATTCTAAAAAAAAGTTCCAATCTGAAAATATATGTTAATTATAACAAAAAAGTAGTTAAGTTAAACTCTTAGCTCACAGATAGTACATATCTGTACACCTGAAGCATAAGGTTATAGGGTTCTCCATCAAATCTTCGAATGGGATTTAATGCTGTGGCTGTCAGATAGGTTGTGTTTTTACTGTCACTTCATTGTCATCTCTAGATTTTATGTTTCATTCCCCAGCCTTTGATACAAATGTCCTTGAAAACATCTATGCCCTAATATGTTGATACCCATTGTATATTATCAGTCAACTTTGGATATCTGCTTCTTTTTAAACACATTATTTATTGTGTATGTGCATGTGTAAGAAGGTGTTTGTAGATCAGAGGAAAAACTTCTAGACAAAGTCTTCTTCTAATAAATGGTTTCCAGGAACAAACCAGATCCTCAGGCTTTGGAGTAGTGTTCTCCCTGGCAGAGTCATATCTACCGTCCCCTCATAGCTTTTTATATTGAACCAGAAAGACAGCATTCATGGAAAACTGATAAAATAACTACTCATTTTCTGCAGAGATTTTATCTTTTGCTGAACTTTTGGAGGAAATGGTTCATTTGCCCATCTAATTAATTTCTATATTAAAAGATCACTGGAAAACTAAATTTGTAAAAGTATGTCCTATGCCAATTTCTATAATCCTGTGGTCTACTGGTCTTATGTTAAACATGAATGAAACAACATAGAACACAGGTTTTCTTCATTATTGAAGAAGAACACATGGAAATGTAAGAGTTAGAAATGTAGCGGCTATGGGACTATATAGACCACTAAAGTTATAACAGAATATAATCAACTTATATAAATATATAATAATATACAATAAATAACGAAATGCCTTAATGTTGCTATTTGTCAAAGTGTCTTCACTTCAACATGGTAAATTCAAACACAGGAAAGATTATTATGTTCCCATGGATGTTCCAAAGAACTGAAAATGCTATTTGTAAATATTTACATGTTTTTCTCTTCAAGGAACTTAGAAATCCATTTTAGGAAAATATTTCATAAGCATTGTTAATGTTTACATAGGCTTACTTAATTTCTCTTCAAAAAAGCACTTTTTATTAGTTTAAATAGTTAACTACCAAGTTGTGACATCCTTTATAAACTTACCAAATAAATTATTTCCTTTTTTTTTTTTTTTTCAGAGAAGTTTGAGCCCAGTATCTTGTGTATGCTGGATAAGTAATCTGTACTCCCAACTTCAAAGTACCAATTCTTACTCATAAAAATGTTATTTGATATTTATGTCAAAATGGGCAATCTGATAATCTATATGTATAAAACTTGAAATAACTATTTAATATTAAAAATCTGGCCAGCATGAATTTGAAAGAGAACAAGGAGACCTGAGAGAGTGCAAAGTGAGGAAAGCTAATGGAAAAATTATATAATAATATCATAATCTCAAAAAATCAAAGAAAAAATTTAAAAGGAAATGAAAGTTGAAATAAAAGTAACTAGGCCTCTGTACTCACAACCCAACCCTGACAGACTCAGAAGACCCCCTACAGAAGGCCTCATCCTCCCTGGGGAGCAGAAAGGGTATGGGATAGGTAAGGTGTTAGTTGGGGTGGCAGGGGAGGAGGCAGGAAGAGGGAACTGGGATTGACATGTAAAACAGTCTTGTTTCTAATTCAAATAAAAATTTAAAAAAGAAAACATGTATTTATACTTTTAGCATAAATACTTAATATGCATAACAAAATAACAATTCAGTTTCCTAATGAAATCTCTTCATGCAGTAGAAAATGTAAATGTACCTTCCTAGTACTTTGATTGCAGAAATAGCTTAGATAAATATAAAAATCTTCCAGTAAGAAACCTGAACCTTTGTATACTGGAGACTTTGTTACTGATGGGGTGTGTGTGTGTGTGTGTGTGTGTGTGTGTGTGTGTGTGTGTAGCACAAGGCAAATATGTATTGAGTCCAGAAGTTGAACTCAGGTTTTTTCCCTTCCTCAGGAACTGTCTATCTTCATTTTGAGACAGGATTTATTACTCGGAACTCGACCTCTCAATAAGTAAAGCAGGCTGCCCTGTAGTCCTTTTGTCTCCACTTCCCCAGCTTTAAGATACCAAGAACATCACTTTCTTGGCAATGTTTGAATAGGTCCTACAGATGGAACTGAGATCCCCCTGCCCCCCAGACAAGCCTTTCAAGGATTCAGCTTTTTCCCCACTTCTGACACCTTTTGAAATGATGTCAAAGATTCATCTGAGAATCCTAAGAGACTTAATGATCATGTATCTTTAAATCAGAAAATAATTGCAATAATCTTTTTGATGTTTTCTTGTTCTTTCATGCTGAGTAAAATAAAATGGCCTTGGAAACATTAAGACAACCTTTAAATTTTTCAAAATTAACATCTGGTACATATAATTCTCTTTTAAATATGTTGTGAAAATTAAATTGTCACCTACCATTTTTTAGCAGGAAAGTAGCAGGTCTCTATTCAGACATCATTTATTCAAAATAGATTATTAACATTATACATTTAAGACATATATGATATTTTGCTAATGTAGAAGCAGATAGCATATTTCATTTCCAGAACAAAAGAAAGGACCCAGAATTGTAAATTACCTTTATCAATGTGAATTCTTTTGGACTCATGTCCTATGTCATGACCAGCCAAATCTCCCTCCTTTGGCCCAGGAAGCACATTTGGTGATAAACCCATCAGCATCTGGTTCATGGACAATCCATTCTGATGGACAGCTGTTAAACCAAAAAAAAAAAAGGAAGAGATACAACAGCATCATCATGTTGTGGTAAAAATAATAACATAAACATAGGATACCCAACTTTGAAATTATAATCCCTGAGTGAATTTACTGGGAGCTTGATAACAAATCCTTATCCTATATGATAAGCAGAAAGCACGGGAAATAGCACCACTTTAGTATATCTGTTGTCATTGAAAACAAATCATTTTCCATGGTGAGAATATTGTGTAATGCCGATTTTAAAGCAACCACTACCATTGAGGTAGTCAATATTACATTCTTGTGCATCAAGTCCTCTCCACAGTAAATAATTTGCCCCATTTAAAACAACAACAACAACAAAAAAAAAAAACAAACTATGATCTCAACAATTCAGTTCCCTTTAACACTGTCAGGTAAAAATGAGTGATGTCTAGTGACCTGCCAAAGCCACTATAGTTTTTGGCAATTAAAGAATTGAAATCATGGTTTGGGTATCCTTATTGTATTCTACACCACAGAATGTGTGGTGTCATATGAATCACAAAACTTTTCTGAAAAATTGTTTTCAACAACTGAAATTCAATTAAATATACTAAATAGTTGGAAAATAATTGCATTCTCTCACTGCTAGTGGTGGTGTGCCACAGCTGAAATGATAAAATGCTATTATTATTCAGATGACCAAACACTCGATTCACAGAACTAAGGCAATGAATTCACTTAATGAACTGGCCAAACAAAATAAATCTTCTTTATTTTGAAAATTTGAATAGTATAAGAACATAAAACATCACTTTCCTGGAAGAACACACAGTCTTAGTATACTCATTGGATTGTATTAAGAGTTACCCCTGACAGCCAACCTTTAATTATTTCATGTTTCAATGGAGACTCATAAACTAGGCATGGAACTTTTCTAGATAACAGAGTACTTCATCCTAGTATACTTTTTGCAAAATGGTAATATCTGAAAATGGTAACATTTATAGCCTTACATTAACAAATGATACATCTGTCAGTATATATTCTCTATCACATTGCATGGTTCTCCAAAACTCTTCCATCACAGTTGTGGTTGTGAGCACAAATTCAAAAGCTAAATTTAATGAATAGGAGCATAACAATGATTTAAGTAGAAGAGCATTCTACAAAGCAAATGCCTTGTGTTTATACCAATGTTGATGCAATGATGGTGGTGCGGGAGATCTTGGAAGAAATTTATCAATTTAGGCAGAGATAAAAACACTGTGATCTGTTATCTTTAGTTGATTCTTGCACTAGGAAAGAAAATCATCTTGCTTCTCAACTAATTAGTTGGAAAGCTCATTAAATATGAAAATATCTATAGTTTGTACATTAACGCTATAATAATGCTAATATCTTGATTGTGATAATTTTTTCTGTGATTTTATAGAAGAAATATCTTTTATGTAGAAATTAAAACTAGGTTTCTTTTTGAGATGGAATTACAGGTGGTTGTGAACTACCTGAAATGGTTACAAGAAAACAAACTCTGATCCTCTGAAAGAGCATCAAGTACTCTCAGGGGCTGAGTCATTTTTCATATCCAAATTAATACTTATAAATTATAAATTATAATAATTATTTTATATGAAATAAATTGAAGACATACATCAAAATTTTAATAATAACAGTAGAATATATACTAATAATTATGCCAAACAGAAATCCTAAAATTAAAGTTCTTTAATCCAGTGATCATCTAAAATGAAGAGGAAATGGACTTTCCAAATTTACTGTGCTTAATTTCGTTTCTGTTGTTTGTATAGGTAAACATCTTTATTCAGTACTGATTAATGTTGAAGCCTAATGAATTTCAGAAGTGGTAGAGGTTTTCATTGAAGAAATGCAGTTTAATAAAGCATAAGTGATGTACTTGGATGTTAGATAGTTGGGAATTGGCTGTGTACTTCAGAAACTCATCTGGAAGATTACTTACTTTTTCTGTTTCATAGCTCAAATCTTTATGTGTAGTATCAAAGGCAGGAAGTTATAGCAGAACCTGTTAATGCTGTTTCATCCTTCATGGCATTCCAAACTGGGACACATAATTTTGAGGAACGGCTATTGCTAGGGAGCTTCGGAACATGATACATTTGAGCTCTATTTGGAATGAGGGCATTTTGATTAGAAATCCCAGCTGCACCTATTAAAGTTTAAGATGGTGACAAGTATAAGCATGAGACCTACGGATTCTGTCGGAAGAACTCTCGGTCCGTGCAGGGGAGCTGGACACACTGCTGCTGCGGTGCGATGATGGGTGGCTGCCAGGCCTTCGGCCCTCCTCAAGAGAGGGGGCAGGTGAGGGGCTGTCGGGAACACGCTCCTGCATTACAAGGAAAGAAATAAGAAAAAAAAGTCAATATACTGTGTCTTGTTATAAATATTGTTTTTCCCCTAAGGCAATTAGAATTATGAAGAGGACTGCCTCCAAAACCCCACAGAGTTTCATCAGCATTTAACTCTACTAAAAGACATATTTAATCTTCATAAAAAAATCTCAACTCTTGACAATATCAAATTCTTGAGTTCCTTGTCATTTGTTTTAATATCATACACTCTTAAAAAGACAATGTAGGAAATTGTGATTTTGTACCTCAATACAGACATGGCAAATAAAAGTAATCTGTTCATTGTTGAAAATGTTAGGCCATAGAAGACAATTAAAATTATCCTAGTAAGATCACCAGGACAAGAAAAAGTTGGTAGAATTAAGCAAGACTGAATTCTGGGTAGTTATTTTGAAGGCATCTTTACTTGTGTTTTTCTACTTCAGCAGGCATTAGGCATCATTTACCACACACATTATGGATGAAACTGACCAAAATGTTATCAGAGAATTGTCAACAGCACTTTAAGGGTGACACCACTCAAGAAACATGATGGTCACAATTAATTCATTGTGGAAATTATTTTCTATGAATCAAGTAAATCTTACTATGTAGGCCCCTTTCTCCAGGTAGTCATTCCTGTTCATGAAATAGTCCCATTCCTGTTCATGAAATATATATCATTTGGGTGTCAGGAAAACTTGCTATTATGCTTCTCTCTCAATTCTATACAGGCATTTGTTTAATGTTATGCACACCAGTCTGAATAAGTTCTGTATTCATTCTACTTAGAGTTTTGTGAAAGTATACATTATATACATATAATAAGTTCATATAAATGAGATTACAGATTAGTAAAACAACCACTAGTTAACACTTTATACTTTTAGAAAAAATAGTTTCATCTCTAATATTAGCAGATGTAGGCACTGATGAACTGACTCTACAATAATCAGTAAATACATTTGATTATAGAAACAAACGTCCACATAAAAAAGGTATTCCAAAGAGTGAGGGCTTTGTGGTTAAGGGAATTTGTGGCTCTTACAGAGGACCTGGATTTGGTTCCCATCATTGCCATAGACATCTGCCAGTGCCTTTGCCAGTACCAGCCACATAGGTTGCACACCTGCCTGTAGACAAGCATTCACATAAAATAATATACATTCGTGTGTGTGTGTGTGTGTGTGTGTGTGTGTGTGTGTACTTAAAAAGCACAATACATGGGCCCCCACTGGTCTGTCTCATTAGCCGGGCGTTGGTGGCACACGCCTTTAATCCCAGCACTCGGGAGGCAGAGGCAGGGGGGACTCTGAGAGTTTGAGACCAGCCTGGTCTACAAGAGCTAGTTTCAGGTCAGCCTCCAAAGCCACAGAGAAACCCTGCCTCGGAAAACCAAAATAAATAAATAAATAAATAAATAAATAAATAAATAAATAAATAAGCACAATACTGCTTAAAGCATGCAAATACTTGAGTAGAAATCTATAGATTAAGGAGGAAAATGTTCTGAAATACATTTGAACTAAAAGAAGATGATATTTTTTAAAAATCTGATTTATTTAATCTGGAGAACCAGAAGGAGGCTCAATGCTGTGCACTTGAGGTAGGAAAGAGCACTGCTTACACCTCTGGCCCCACAGCTCTTTCAGCCTCCAGATGTCTACAATCTGCCTGCTTGTGAGAAACCAATGAAAGATCTCAGAAATGCCTCTGCTTGAAATTTGTTTCCAGGCATTCTGGTTGACAAATAAAACACCTCTGTCCAAAACCCACAGAAACACACGTTGAAGGGTGAACCCTGAGTCCTAAGAATATGAGGTTATATAAAAAGATGGTCTGTGCAGTAGTAGTTCATCAAAAGCAGGTAATTCTACACTGATACACTGCTGATCGGTGGTTAGTGTCCTTACAAGATGCTGTGGAGATAAAGGATAGGCATTTTTTGTGAAGAAGGAGGCAAGGCTGGAATCACATATCAGCAAACCAAACACCACCAGGAACTGTCATCTACTAACAGAGCTCTGGAAATGCAGACAGCATCCTACCTGGAATCTCAGGGGAACACGACTGCCTGAACACTTTGCTATTGAACTTCTATAAGCCAAGAAAGTGAGAAGTGATTTTTTTGTGATTTAAGTCAACAAATTTATGGTTATTAGTGTTTGTGACCCAAAGGCAAATATTACCTACTTATGAGGGGAGATCCAGTGATATATATTGCGTAGCAAGGCAAATCAAGTAACTCTTATGCTGCACATCTCTCTTTTTCAATGATCTGCATTGCCAATGAAAATCTTCAATACATACACTGAGAATTCAATTTTCAGAATATTACAAATAAAATAAAAGCAAGTGCCAAACTTTCAAAGCTTTTTTATTTAAAAGACACATATCAAAAATCAATTCCCAATGTGTGTCCTAAAGAGCATGATGCAATCCAAAGAGAAATTGTCTGACAAAGAACATACCTGGTCAGTGTAGCAAAGATTAAAAATAGCAACAACAAAAAGAAAACCACCATCCCTATTCTAGTCTAGGTACAATGCTATGGAATTGATGTAATAATGATTAGCTGAACCTTATGAGCTTTTAGTAGGTCTACATGGGATTTTTTTTTTTGGAAAGGACAATAAAATCTGTTAAGGGCATACCATAGTATTATCCTTCATCATAGTTGATACAATGCTAAAAATTGAGTGTTCTAATTTCTGCTAATAGAAAAACTAGGTGATATTTACTTTAATATAGGACACTTATGTTCCAACTTAACTTCAAACTGAAGAAAACAATGGGAATATGGTAAGATAAATGCACACACACACACACACACACACACACACACACACACACACACACAGCATATGACAAAATTCATAGGTACCATAGCTGGGGAGAATTATTGGGTTCTTCCCTCCTTTGGAAGCTTGCATCGCACCTTCTGGTAGCATGAACACTATTAATAAGTGAGGCTACATTCAGGTCAGCTCCAGCTCAAGGGCCTCTGAAGTGCATGATGTTTTAAGCAATAAGATTTTTTTAAGGATTTATTTCTGTATTTTGTGTATATGAGTGCTCAATCTTGCATGCATGCCTTTATTCCAGAGAGGGCATCAGAACCCATTAGAGATGCTTGCCAGCCATGTGGTTGCTGGGAATTGAACTCAGAACCTCTGGGAAAGCAGCTAGCTAGTGCTCTTATCCACTGAGCCATCTCTCAAACCACCTCTGGGGGGCAACAAAGGGCAATAGTGGTAGCCTTTACATTTGGTAGTCTCTTGAACAACCCTGATCCACAACTCAAAATATGGGGTTATTTATGCCTGTTGTTAGTTTTTAATAGGTAATCTTTCTTTGTCCCTTAGAGGGAATATTGTCTTCACAAATGGAAGAATTTCACATATACATATATATGTGTGTGTATATATGTATATATATTGTATATATACATTTATACAAAGGCTTATGTAAATTATGTTTTTTTCATTCTTTCTTTTTGTTTTTTTTTTTTCTTAACACTCAGAGAGCACTGTGGAAGAGGGGTGGAAAGAGTGTGAGAGCCAGAGCATCAGGGAATTTACTGTTAGATTCTGTCTCCTAGCAATGTCAGAAGCTAAGCCTATCAAATCTCATCAACATAACTGTCTAAGCATTTGCTAAACAATGACAATAGAAATGCCAAAGGAGTAGTGGGAAAGCCCACAAGACCTCAACATTACACTCAGAGCTACAGGTAACTAAAAATCTTAAGTGGGAGAACTAGTCTACCCCTGAGAACAGCTTATCAATTTGTTTTTCCAAAACCAAATAGCTAGCACTGAAAAGACAAGAATATTCATTCTAGGCAGGTTAGCCAGACAGTGGTAACACATGCCTTTAATCCAGACACTCAGGAGGCAGAAGCAGGCTAATCTCTGTGAGTTTGATTCCACCCTGCTCTACAAAGTGACTTCCAGAATGGCCAAGGCTACATATACATAGAGAAACCCTGTCTCCAAACGAAAAACAAACAACAGAGAAAATCAAACAAAAACAGACTGTGTAGGTTATATTTAGAAATACAATTGTGTATACTTACATGCATGCAACAACAATCAATTTTAAAAGATGATGAATTGGATAGACAGCAAAGAGTGGTACATGTTAGGCTTTGAGGAAGGTAAAGAACAGAAGAAATGATGTAATTACAATGATGAAAGGTTCAAATCAAATTTTGGCAGCTGTAAATTGCTTTAAATTAGTATAGTATTTGATGGTTATATTTTATGATGCTTTTTCAGTATTTGCATATTTACTATAGAACAAGAGTTTGAAAATTTACAGTAGAATTTCTAAAAATATACAGATATATTTATATATTAAATTTAGTATAGTTCAGTTGCATCCATAATCAGACCAAGCTTTCAAGTTATACAACTTGATATCAATTTCTTGTTTGTAAATTTTTCTTTATTAAAATTAAAAAATATTGTTTATAATCCCAAGCATGTCTTTTGATAAGATCTCTTTCTGCTCCACCCCATTTTTTTTCCTGTTCCTCCAGCAGTTTTTCTTCCCAACTTTGTATGTTTGTATCTTTAAAACTACTGAGTTCACATAGCTCTACCTATTTCTGACTGGGTATAGGAACACTTGTTAGAAAATGAAGAGGCTCACAGAAACAATACCTCTGAAGAAAACTGACTGTCTATTCCTGCAGCCATGACTGCCAATAAGAACAGCTCCTATTTACACAGATTGGGTCTCCCAGTTTGGCTATGTTTTAAATATAATACATTATATAGAAATATATAATATGTACTTGAAAAGATATTTGAATTTTATTAAAATATAATTTACTAAATGAACCAGTATATCTTCTGCAAACATGCTATCAGCATTTTCAGTACATTTTTAGTATGATCTGTAAAAATGGACTTAGTGAGCTTACTTCAGAACAGAGTTAAAGTGCAATCTAAAAATAAATCAATTCCTGTAAGATCATTTGCAAATCTGA